CTTCATTATTTGTTTAAACCAGAGCCGGCATTTTAAGATGTGCTATTTTAAGTGACATTTAGCCTTTTACAAACATAGTAGCTACTTTTGAGTTGCATGACAGTCAGTTAACTCATGGTTAGAGCGCTAGAGCGAACATCCACGAGCTCTGGGAACACTAGTTTTTTCAGAAAGATAATCTCAAGTTTCTTTATGATGACAAAGTCCTAATCATTGATGTTGTTGGAAGATACAGTTAGGTGTATCCAGGATCTTCAGCTGTAAGAAACAGTCCAAGAGGATGGGAGGTAGGACTGCCAATGAAAATTCCTTGCTCCCAAGGGATTCTCCCTGGGTATTCTCAGCTTCTGTGCGCTTTCCAGTCGTATTTATATGGACAGGGATAGTTCTAAAGGTATTTTGGACCAGGACTTGATATTAAATCCAGAATTGTTAAGTGCAGAGTGCAGAAAAACAGTGCAACATGATTTAAGATGAGAGCCTATTCCATGTTCCATCAGCTGTAACTCCATTTACTTTCCATGATCAGTCCTTGGATTGAGGCCATGACTGTAGTCCAACCAAGCAAAGCATGAATCACTGCACCTGACAGGGAGCAATCTTCCTTTCAGGTGGAAACAGATGTTTCTGGCAAGTGCCGCAGTTTGAGTATCTAGGAAGAAACAAGAATTGCTGTTTATTAATTTCCGTGCATTTCAAAGCAATTTCTCCTTTCTACTAACTTTATCTTATTAAATTAAAGCAAGGGATTGTTGGACCACATGTTGGCTTCTTCTAGATGTTGGGGCAGCAGAGTCTATGCTCTCCAAAGCCAAAAGGCTGCTTATAGCTGTATCCTGAATTCTTTAACAGTTGATATCATGAGACATCATGGGCTCAGTCAATGTTTTAACAGAAATGTTAAAGGAGAAAGGGAAGTATGAAGTCTTGCGCACCATCTGTAGGTGTGAAGGCTTTTGGTGGAAAGAAACAGCTGCCATCACTGTCTGAGATTGGCTTTGTTCCTTTCTCCAAGACAGTGTGGTTCTGTCTACTCCTGCCCAGTCATGCACTTGGGTAACTTTGCCTAGGAAGGAGAAACTTGGGACAAGCAGATAATTAGTACATTCATAGGCATCTGTTAACTGGTATTTTGAGCATTTTTTTAAACTGGAACAGAATCATAGAGTTGGAAGAGACCTCAGGAGGTCATCAAGTCCAACCCCCTGCTAAAAGCAGAACCAATCCCTACTAAATTATCCCAGCCAGGGCTTTGTCAAGCTGGGATTTGAAAACCTCTATGGATGGAGATGACATCTCCCTGCATAACCCATTCCAGTGCTTCACCATCCTCTTAGTGAAATATTTTTTCCTAATATCCAATCTAGACCTCCCCCACTGCAGCTTGAGACCATTGCTCGCTGGTCTGTCATCTGTCACCACTGAGTACAGACTCTCTGCATCCTCTTTGGAAGCCCCCTGCAGGTAGTTGAAGGCTTCTATCAAATCCCTCCTCTTCTGTAGACTGAATAAGCCCAAATGCTTCAGCCTCCCCTCATAAGTCATGTGCTCCAGCCCCCTAATCAATTTTGTTGCCCTCTGCTGGACTGTTTCCAATTTGTCCATATTCTTTCTGTAAGCAGGGAGGGAAATGGATGCAATACTCCAGATGTGACCTCACCAGTGCCTAACAGAGGAATAATTACTAGTCATGTGCTCCAGCCCCCTAATCAATTTTGTTGCCCTCTGCTGGACTGTTTCCAATTTGTCCATATTCTTTCTGTAAGCAGGGAGGGAAATGGATGCAATACTCCAGATGTGACCTCACCAGTGCCTAACAGAGGAATAATTACTACCCTAGATGTGCTGGCAGTGCTCCTACTAATGCACCCCAGTGTGCCGTTAGCCTTCTTGGTTACAAGGGCAAACTGACTCGTATCCAGCTTCTTATCCACTGGAATCCCCAGGTCCTTTTCTGCAGAACTGCTGCTTAGTCAGTTGGTCCCCAGTCCATCGCTGTGTTTACTTACAGATTTCACTTGCTAAGGGGTACATTGCCACTCTGAATAACAGGTAAAGATATTTCACATTTACCTTCCATAACACAGGAGTAGTCAGACATGTGGTGCACACATCTCTTGTGCCTCCAGAATCTCTTGTTTATGATGTACTCTTATAGGAAAATCTTCAGCTTCATCTAGTATTATTTCTTTGTGACGTGGTGGTTATCACAGATTTACTGATCTTTTACAGAAAAGTGTTATTGGCATATAGTTCTGGGCTTTTCAGTACAGGCAGTCCCCGACTTACGCGGATCCGACTTATGTCGGATCCGCAGTTACGAACGGGGCTGTCCCAGAGTACACGGACTGTGGGACCTCGCGGTCCTGCCGCCCGTGTACTCTGGGGCTTTCTCTGCGTCTCCCTGGTCTGCCCCAGGCGTCCTGATTTAGCCGCTGCTGGAACTGACCAGCGCTGACTACAGGAAGCCCGAGGCAGAGTTGCTCTGCCCCAGGCGTCCTGATTTAGCCGCTGCTGGAACTGACCAGCGCTGACTACAGGAAGCCCGAGGCAGAGTTGCTCTGCCCCAGGCGTCCTGATTTAGCCGCTGCTGAAACTGACCAGCAGCGGCTGAATCAGGACGCCTGGGGCAGACCAGGGAGACGCAGAGAAAGCCCCAGAGTACACGGGCGGCAGGACCGCGAGGTCCCACAGTCCGTGTACTCTGGGACAGCCCCGTTCGTAACTGCGGATCCGACATAAGTCGGATCCGCGTAAGTCGGGGACTGCCTGTACTCAAAAGGTGTTTACAAAGGAGGAAGCCTTTCAAAGAAATTATAAAAATGAATGAGGGGGCTGATAGGATTATGTGAAGGAAGATTTAGAATAGCTAAAATAACAATGGAATTGAACTAAGGGGGAAAATTACACTCCAAAGATTTGAAGCTTGATGCAGAGAGAAACTTGGCGTGGCAAAGGGAGGTTTAACATTCACATTAAAGAGATCATTTAGGTTGAATGTTAGAAAGAACTGACCAACAAATAATGAATTGTAGACTAGCCTCATAGCAGATGCCTAATTGTGCAATCAATGAAAGGGACATGATTAACATGACAATAACATTTCCATCGCCAGTTTGTGCACTTACTATTACAAGTGACACCTTGTATTACTATAGTTGCAGGGGACTGCAGGTGAAATTCCTGTTGCTGCATCTGGCAGCACTTGGTCTTTAGTCAGTTTCAATGCTTCATTGATAGTACATGCTAGTCCCCTGGCTCTGCATTGCCTATCAGCAACAGGTGCAGCACAGTTGGAACTGAGTCAGGAAGGAAGGAAGGAAGTCACTGGTGGGTGGTGACACAGAAACTGGGAGGGGGGACTTCATTTATTTCATGGTGGTGCCTTGAGGCCTGCCAAAAGACTCTTCTAAAAATAGGCAAAGGAGCAGTTTTTAAAAGGGTTTTTAAAAAATTCAGGACAGATTAAGTTCAGGTTGTTGCTTTAGAAAACTTATTTTTAAAAATGTCTATTTAAAAAAATTCAACTTGGCTGTCCCTTTAAAGCTCAATTGGCAAAACCCTGAGTTATGTGACCCTGAATTGCAGGGAGGGAGAACTAGACGACCACATTACTGGCCTTTTCAGTTTCATATTCATTTAGCTGTAGACTGCTGATATTTTTAAACCGTTCCATGTGTTGATACCATAGTGTCTCCTCACAGTAGAAGCCACATTTGTCCGTTGCATGTAACTTGATAAAAGTACAATTTATTTTCTGAGCACTTATATCTAATCAGTTTAACTCAATTTTTTCTTTCATTTCCTTATGCCCATGTGAAACATTACATTTTCCTGTCTAGCAGTGGATACACAGAAACCTGAAGTGCCTTACTGTCTGATGTCAGGTTTCATATTGGCTTTCATATTGGCTTACAAGTTTGGCTCTTGTGAGTGTTGCTTAGCGCCATCTTAAGATGTGAGAACCAAAAAGCAAAAGCATCTTACTGTGCCACCCATGGGATGCTTAATGTCACTCTTGTGACAAGAGAAAATGTGAAAGTTCAACCATTGATATCTTTTAAATGAGTTTGGCATTTTATGCAGTATTTTGCTTTCCGTGTTGGATGCGTTGGTGTGCGCCTGTAATCATAGCTGTTTGCGGGGCTAAGGCTAGCAAATCGCTTGTGAGTTCTAGGCTGTGGTATGCTATGACAATTGGGTGACTGAAGGACTGGAGAACAACACAAATAACTTGTTGTGAGCCTCCCTCTCTCTGTGAGGGCTGATGGACCAATTGTTTTGCAGGAAGGCTAGGAAGGCAGATTGATGCTTTCCTCTAGCGATGATGCTGGAAAACCCCCTCTCAGGAGTTTTGACTGACAGGAATTCTAAATAATGCACACATTTATGGCTAGAGGTCAGGATGGGCTTTGCCAGCTGGGATTCCTTTTGTTAATGGCAAATATTTTTGTTCATAGAGGGAGCATTGTCTAAGGTTAAAGCACAGGACTGGAAGTCAGAAGACATGGGTACCATTTCTAGTTTTGTTACTGCCATGGTGCCTAATAAAGGGAAAATCATTTAACTTCTCTGAGCCCACCTGTAAGAAGTGGATTATATTTATCGATTTTTTTTTTTTTGGGGGGGGGGGGGAGTTTTATTTGTTTATGAAATACTTGTAAAATCATGGGAAATAAATGCTGCTTTATTTATTTCTATATCAAATTTTAGGGATTGGTGATTTAAGGGTTTCTCTGCATAGCAAGTTACTGTGCAACAAACCGGTATGTGACTCTACCGAATTACAGGCCTAATGCACTGTGGATTCACTCACTGGCTTGTCATGCAGTAACTTCTTTTGTACACTTGCCCTAAGTCACACAGTTAATACTTCCATTGAGCAGCCTGTCTACGTAAAAGCACTTAGTGATATAACTCACAAGATATTGCAGCCTTCATAAACGGGTTGCTGCCACCTCCATTGACGTTATTTGACAGTTCCTTTTCCTTGCTAACAGAAAAGCTTGCAGAAGCTCAGCGCAGGTTCGCTACCCTTCAGAATGAACTCCAGTCATCTTTGGATTCACAGAAAGAAACTAGTGGTCTTACCACACTGCGGCAGCGCAGAAAGGCAGTCTTCCACCTGTCCCATGAGGAGCGTGTTCACCATAGGAACATCAGAGACCTAAAACTGGCCTTCAGCGAGTTCTACCTCAGCCTCATCTTACTGCAGAACTATCAGGTACGAAGAAAAGAAGGGAAGAGTTTTCCCATGGGCTCTAAGTGTCCATTCCATTCTTGGTTGTTGGATTGACTTATCTCATTGCAATCAGAGGACAGACCATTGAGGCAGAGAATGGGAGAATGAATAGGTCTCCACAATGATTTTGAGGTCGTATTCTTTGCTTTCAAAGCCAGATTTGAGAGTCTAGAAACTATTACCATAATATTGGAAAGAAAGATGGGGCTGTTTATTCTTCATTTCTTGACATGACCGTAGTAGTGTTGTTCACCTCACTGCGTCAGCATTTTCTTTTTTAAAGCCCGCTTTTTTTCCAGGAGTGTCTAACTTTTCTTTTAAATATTATGGGATGCAACTTGGCATACATTTTTTTCGCAAGAAGGCAAGTACAAACAAATACAATTTTAGGCATATTTAGATTTGTAGCACAGAAAAAATGGGATTGTAATGGCTGTAGAGACTGATGTGTGTGTTCCTTTAATTTAGTTTAATTGGTGGGTTATTTTATTTTACATCTTTGTGGAAGAATGGCTCATAACTGTACTAACTTGTGTTTTGGCATTTAATACTTTAAATTTTTTTTCTTTAAGTGTCATATTGTATATAGTGTGTCTGTCTGTCTGTCTGTCACTGGCAACTTCAAACCACTTTTTTTTAAGACTTTAGACCTAACTAGAATATTCAAACTTGGGTGCCTAAAGCAAAGCCCCTACATCCTTATATAGACACCTAAATAGGGCAAATTTATGGCAGGGAACTTTACCAAATGGAATCACACCAGTGAGATTTACCTTCTACAGTTCCATAAGAAAGGCAAAGCTTTAGTAGCTAGATTTTTCTGATGGGTTTCAGCTTCCCTAGACTTTAGTGGGTTTGATGTCACTCCGCATTTCCCAACATTAGACACTGTGTTTAAATCCATAAACATGCTTTCCTTTAGGCTCTCAGATTGGCAAATGTTGGTCCAAATAGTGTTAAAGAAGACTGCAAATTGGCCTGTTGTCTTATACTATGGCAGTGGTTCCCAACACGGTGCCCGCGGGCGCCATGGCGCCCGCCAGGGCATTTATGTGCACCCGCCTAGCGCTGCCCCACTCGCACTGCCGCCGCGCCGCTTGTTGTTGATTTCAGCCCCTCCCCCCATCTATCCCCTTCCCTCCGGCCTCTTGTCTAATCAGCTCCAGGAGAACTCGGGAGACCCTCCGCCTGCTCCACGAGGAGCTTGGACCCTGGCGCAGGCAGCGCCCCACCCAGCGCTCTGGCTCGCTCCTGCTCCCTGGTGTTTATACAGGGCTGCCAGCCAGCTACATTACCACGCCAGTCCCTCCGCACTTCCGCAGCCCCCCCGGGAGCTGCTGGCCGCAGAATCCCTGGCAGCGGCTGCAGGCGAGCCCTGGCCTGGCGGCTCCTCTCTCTCCTCTTGCAGGGGAGGGGCGCCTGCGGCGCCCCGCTTCACATCGGGGAAAGGTGTGTGTACAGCTGCAGAGAAAGGGAAGTAGGGGGACCCTTGACATTTTTCACCTCTCCCCCAGAGTGCTTCGACATTTCCGTGCGTGCTGTGGGGAGGAGACACAAGGATTTGGTGGGGAGAAGGAAAGGAGACGGAATTCTGTCATTGGGGGGAGGTGAGAGAGGGGAGCAAACTGGGTCTGGTCGGGATCTGGTTCTGGCAGCGGCTGCAGGCGAGCCCTGGCCTGGCGGCTCCTCTCTCTCCTCTTGCAGGGGAGGGGCGCCTGCGGCGCCCCGCTTCACATCGGGGAAAGGTGTGTGTACAGCTGCAGAGAAAGGGAAGTAGGGGGACCCTTGACATTTTTCACCTCTCCCCCAGAGTGCTTCACTTTTCACCTCTCCCCCAGAGTGCTCTGACATTTCCGCACGTGCTGTGGGGAGGGGACACAAGGATTTGGTGGGGAGAGGGAAAGGAGACGGAATTCGGTCATTGGGGGGAGGTGGGAGAGGGGAGCAAACTGGGTCTGGTCGGGATCTGGTTTCGCTGGGAGGGAAGAGGGTACAGGGTGGATCAGGTGGGGGAGAGAAGAGGGGTGGACTGGGTCCAGTCACTGAGAGGTCGGGTTTGCCTGGGAGGGGAGAGAAGGTGGAAATTGGGTTCCGTGCGTGCATGGGGGGGAGGGGGAGGAGTCGGGATGTGTGTGGACAGGGATGTGTATGGAGGGGAGACAGGACGTAGGCTGGGGTTGGCCGGAGAGTGTGGTGGGAGTCAAAGAGAAAGGGGCACTTTCCTCCTCAGTGCCTGTCCTGGGGGGACGGCCAAAAAAATGTTTTGCTTGGGGCAGCAAAACACCTAGAGCCAGCTCTGGCCCCACCCCAAGGTGCGCTGCCTAAGCGCAGCCCCTCCCCCGGGTGGCCCTGCCCCCAGGTGGCCCAGACCCCGCCCCCGGGTGGCCCAGCAGCCCCGCGCGGCGCCCACCACCCAAAAAGGTTGGGGACCACTGTACTATGGGAAGCCTTCAATTACTTACAGCTAAGTTCACAATCCTCAGATCTTTGTTCACTTCCTGGTGAAGCCATGTTGGTCAGCTTCTTCCTTTTATTTCTTTTACAAAAAGAATACTAGGCACTAGGATTTCATTATCAGGAATAATTTGAATGGCCTGGTAAGATGAGGACTATGCAAATGATTCCTCTGAAAGGCTTTTGGTATCAGTCAGGAAGGCAGCAAGGAGTCACTGATTATGGAGACTCTGCCAAAGAGAAGATAGTTTTAAATTCACTGAACAGTGACACAAATTCAAACAGGCTCTGAGTTTATAAGTCTCCACTTAAGCAGACTCATCTGCACCCCAAACTGGCAAGACATCTTTGAGGGTTTTATACTAGGTTGGAAAGTGAGAAAAACAGATGAGTGTCCTTTTTCGTTTAAAAAAAAAAAAAGACTGACTGTGTCTGAACACAAATGTAGGCAGTGTGGTAAGTACTGCATGAGTTAATAAGTTATGGCAGGTAAGCTGTGAGGCATAAATGAAACCAGGTGGGAAGAATCTCATAATTGTAATGTTAATGTAGATTGTACTAAGCTGTATAGAAAAAATAGAACGTGAGGTGGACAAGGGTGGCATTATGTCAAATATATTTACAATTCTTTCAGGCTCCAATTTGTATAGTGGTGAAGCTTTTTGAGTTAGGTTACAAAAGGGGGAAAATTAAGTAGAAACGGTAGGTGTCTTTTGTCCGAACAAGAAGAAAAAAATTCTTGCACCAGTTCTAAAGCTACTTAAAATTGGAGGATACCAGTCCATGGAGTAATTTTAACAGCCCCGTTATGTGTGGGTTTCAGCCAAACGTTGATCATCCTCAAATGTTCCTCAGTTTAATATATAAAAAAAAGGTGATGACCCAAATAGTAAAACTACAGCTTGGATCTTTCCAATAGAGGAACTGATATGAGAATGTGAACATAAAAGGAGTGTTCAGGATTTATAGCCATAAACTGTTGAAATTCATCATAGAAAGCGCTGGCTTTATTTTAGCAGCCTAAAGATAATGCTTTTGGACGGGGAAAAAAAAAAGCAAATTGAGTTATTAGCCTAGCGAATAAGATGTAAAAAGAGGGAGCATTAAAATCCACTATTATGGTGGAAGAATGGCAAGTGCTCAAACCATCAATATATCTCTAGTTAAAACTACATCTATTTGACCTGCTTATGATCCTGAATTTTCTAATTAACAGAAATTTACATACAAGCAAGCACTTTCTCTCTGAACCTATTCGTTCCACCTACGTGATTTTGCATTAAATTGCATAATGTAAGTCATCAGAGTGGGTTTGTGGTATTAGCCATTTATGTGTTGTCAAACGGATATTTAATTTAGGCGTATGGACTTTAGTATCTAACAGAAATTGAAGCTGAATGCGGAGGAGAAAATTTTGTTTTTGAATAGAAACTATCTTCAGTAGTAAGAAAAATACAGAATGTCAGACTAAATTATTCCTCTGATTTTTTTAGCTTTTGTGATTGTATCACTGCAAAACGCTTTTATTGAAACTGCTATTTAACAGTGTTAACTTGGTTAGCGCACAGCTTTGGAGTCGTGGAACTTGCGCTGTCAGAAGAGGAAACTCCACCTCAAGAAGAACTCTAGGCTACTTATTGTAAAAATATTGGGCTGTTCTTCCTGAGTTATGCTAAGAGCCAAAGAGCTACAATAACTCAAACCAGCAAATAGCATTATTGAGTTCAAGGCAACAGTAAAATCTGTGACCAAAATTATCATTTTGTTACAATTTTTCATTTTAACTTTATGAAACAAGGCTCTGCTGTCCCAGGGGTGAAACGCTGGATTTTTCCAATAGAAAGTAATTAGTCTCCCTTGTTTGTGGTAATGCAGATCATTAATGCATTGGCTTCCTGTTCCCATCTCTCTCTTTCTTCCTTACCTACTGCACAATGGGGGTCTGATATTAAATCACTCCAGGCATAATTAGATTGAAAATCATTTCAGTAGAGTAGTTGGAGCTTCTCCCAAAGGCATTGAATTGTGCCATTCTCTGTTTTTCTCTCTCAAATCTAGTTTAAGGGCTAGTTTTTATAAATAAAAAATTAAAATCCCTTTCTGATCTGTATATTTAATATTAGGCTGAATAAGCTGAGTAGAACATGAAGTGCTTTTGGTGATTTCTTTGCATAGATATCACAGTATTTCAAATATGATTCATCCTGAGTCTTCAGTCTACTCCCAGTTGCTATAATGAGCTTTTCCATTACTGTGTACTGTATTTAAAAATAAACAAATTCATCTGGGCTTATACATAACTCTGATATTAGCTCTCCTTTTTTCAATTGATTGCTGTGGGCGTGACCTTACATAGATCCCAAATGCTATCCGTTCGCTTTGACTTCAAACTCAGATATGTTTCTGTGCACATAATGCAAAATGCTGTTATAGGAACACACTTGACTGTATTTAATTGCCATGACGTGTTAAATGCTTTCTAAGTTTTCTTGTACACAGATCTATTTTATTGAGTGTTATACTATACTATTGTGTATTCTCTAATATTTGTGTTCATCTTCCTTTTAAAATGAATGAAATAGGAAGTCAGTAGGCTTCCCTATCCAAAAGAGAGAATATCCCCAAAAGACAAGTAGGTAATACCTGTGCAGTGGGTGCATGAATAAGAGGATCAAGCTAGAAGAAACTTTGGTCTTACAGAATTACTCTCCTTAAACTGTTTCTGCACGTGTAAATTTCAGTTAAGAGCTCTTGCTAACAACTGTTAGTATATAGACAAACTATGATATGGTACACAGGACATAATTGAATGAGCTACTGTTACCAGAGACTGTACAACTAGATCATTAGGCTCAAAATTGCTGTGGAAAAAGTGTTCAGTATAGCCAAAGCCCAGCTATCTGCAGTGAATTTTCATCTACAAGATTGACCATTTGGTAAGAGAAGGAGTGGTGGCAGCATCTTTATTATGCAGAGTAAAAAAATTTATGTTCCACAGGGTTCATTGTGTTAGGTTCATATTCTACCATGGCTAGTCCATTTTGTTTCATGCTTTGTAGTTAATTTGATCACTTTTGTCTTCCAGACTTGTGTTGTTTTATGTACAAACATCTGTTTCATTCCGAAACCAACCAACCAACCACCAAAATCCTGTAGTTCTGTGTTTGAGTTAGCAATCTGAGATCATCTGCTGCTTTCTAACCTTTGAAACATAGTATACAATATGTGTTTTAGAATGGTATTGACACAATCCTTTCTCTGAACTTACATTGTGTTTTTGATTAACTCTATCTTAATAGCTGCAGGTATTGCATACATTACTATCATGAGACTGAATATGGTATTAGATTTAATAAGTTCTCTACAGATAATTCCCTATTTTTCATGCCCTCATTCCCCTTAGTCCTTACTATTATTTTTAATAATGATTTTTAGTCCTTTATTTAATAACTCTGTAGACCAAAGAGCCATCCTGAAAATTTTTCCCAAAAGGGTCACTAATTAACAGTCTTATTTACTGTTTCTTTTTTATCATCACTGGAATATTACCATCTTTCAACATCCTTTGTTGTTCGCTGAGACTAAAAAAGGATGTTTTATTTTTCTTGTCTTTAGAACCTGAACTTCACAGGATTTCGTAAGATCCTGAAGAAGCATGACAAGATCCTGGAGACACCCCGGGGTGCAGATTGGCGGGTGGCCCACGTGGAGGTGGCACCATTCTATACTTGCAAGAAAATCAACCAGCTTATCTCTGAAACAGAGGTAGAGGATGCTGAACTATATGTTCCCTCCGCTTTATGTGGTGAAACACAGCTCCTCTCGCCCTTCACCAGGAATAATCCTTGAGCTCCAATACTGTTGTGAGGAAAGGCCTTAATTACCAATGCAACTGTTAATTGATTTGAAAGAGCCATTAGTTTCTGGCATTGGTCATTTCTAATTTGTGGGTTTGTCTGGATATTGGCTTCAGCTGTTAACTTTCCATATGTAAAATTACAGTGATCTTCAAGAGTAATTTGTAATAATGTGTCATCACTCTACCCCTTTCTCTTTCACTGAGTAGACCCCATATTGACTTCTTGTGATTTATGCCCATAGGCCGTGGTGACCAATGAGTTAGAAGATGGAGATAGACAGAAGGCCATGAAGCGTTTACGAGTCCCACCCTTGGGAGCTGCTCAGGTGAAATTATAAATTCCATAATTCCTCTTTTCCTCCCAGATTAGCTGACATGTCAGATTACATTTCTGCTCCCCAAAAAACTACAAATACATTGAAATGTGTGTTTCTGCTGGTCCTCAGAGATCACCAGCATATTAAATTATTTGGTGATTAGAAAAAGTAACCTACTGCAATTGCAGAAGAGTTGGAAATGGTACTGTAATACACTAGTATATCAGAATGGCCATACTGGATCAGACCAAAGGTCCATCAAGCCAAATATCCTGTCTTCTGACAGTGACTGATGCCAGATGCCCCAGTGGGAGTGAACACAACAGGTAACGTACGACGAAGTAATGGCAGAATGATATAGGGAAGTAAATGTTAGCACATCACACTTACTGTTAATAAATGCTTCTGGCCATGCTCTCCTGTGTTGGAATGCTGATGGACCTAGAAGTTTTCTCAGAAGGCCTTAATACGGTTGGGCTTTCTGTTCTAATGTTTCATAATGCTCTTGGCTGGTGCTCTGTTGTGCTTATTAGATTTAAGAAACTTCATTTGGAAGGGGAAGGAAGTATAAAAACCTAGGATAAAATGCTACATCAATTGGTTTCAGATTTATTCTGAAAACTAATGGAGATAAATCAACATTCTGTCCTTAAGACAATTATTGTTCTGTTTACAGCCTGCACCAGCATGGACTACCTTCAGGGTTGGCTTGTTCTGTGGCATATTTATTGTGCTGAATATCACTGTCATACTTTCAGGTAGGTATCTTCATTTTGGATCCAGATGACACCCAGATTGTGATTGTGAAAAGTATATAGGTATGCTTTCATTACCTAATAACTGTTGAATGAATGGTAGTAACCAGGTTGAATTTGTCAGAGCGTTGATGGTAAGAAGGCTTGGTAGTGTAGGGCAAACCAAGCAAGTCAGCTACTGGTTATGCCTAATGATTTGTAATACCTGTCCAATGTTACATATGTAGGTAATACTTTTGTAACATGCTGTAATTACGATACTGGCTTCCTACTTCTATTCTTGGTGGAACCTCCTGCAAATTTTACCACCCTCTGTGTCCCCTGAACCTTTCATCTTTGGTAGTTGCATCCACTTCACCTCCCCTGAAGTACTCCTAGGATTCATATATTGTATATTATGGAATCACTGGAAGGAGGAATTGGTATTGCCTGCTGTAAAACTGACGGTGCACAAATTGATGGGTCAGTTTCAAGGAGCATAATGCCATGCAGTTTGTTTCTTATTGTGATGGGGCTGGCCTGCCCCGCACTGAACAGGGGGGCGGAAAGCCCGCCTATTGGATGGAATATGCCCCTCCCCCACAGCCCTGCTGGGCCTGCTTGCAGTGCAGCCCTAGTATAAAAGACTGCCAGGCTGCTCAGTTGGGGCTGGCCTCCGGGGAGGGAGGAGCTCCTGCCCAACCTCCAGAGCCACAGCCGGACCTGCTGCCGGAGCAAGAGCCGCCGGGACCACCGCCGTTGCTGCTAATGTCCCTGGATTGAGCGTGCCCGCAACGCCAACCCCGGGGGGCTGCCCGCCCTGCCGTGATGGACAACCCCTGTGCTGCTGCCCCAGACGCCGGACCTGTCAACGTCACGGCCGCTGCCAGCCCAGCAGGTGGGGACTCCGTTGGCCACAGGGCTGGGGTAGGAAGCAACCCAGGGCAAGGGGCAGGGAATACCCCGGTGGGCTCGGTGCGTTTCGGGGAGAACTCCCCGCCGAGCCAGTGGTGGGAACCACCCACCACTAATAGGGCCCTGGGTTGGGGTCCGGTGGAGAGGGAGGGCCAGGACCCCCCTACCTCATCCACCTAGAGCGTGGACTAGGCTGCCGGGCTGCATTTGTGCTGGACTAGGCCTCAGGGCCTGCTTTGACCTTGGACTAGACCGCCGGGCCTGCGTTTCAAAGGACTAGGCCGTGGGGCCTGCATTTAAAGGGACCAGTCCTCAGGGAGAAGAGGGCGGGGCTGGGGAGCCTGCCAATTATGAAGTTTTTTTCTGAGATTTCAGTGCCAGGTCCCCATGGAGCTGACCAGGTGGTATTCTGCTTTGTTGGTAAATTATGGCAAGCACACACAAAGGCAATCAGTCCTCGACAACTGGGCTTTGTATTTTGTCTGGGGACAGATTTTCTTTACTCTGTCTCTCGTGTCATACAAACAATAACTGAACAGGCACTCCAACACCTGCAGAAATTGGCATCTCCAGATTGCACAGCTAAATGTATGGACCTGTTGGGGAGAAATGTGTATTCCTCAGCTGCAAGGGAGAATTGCACACTGCCATACTCTAATACCTTTTCCATAAGAGGGGATCCCATGCTGGGATCTCTTTGCCACTCTCAGGGCTGTTCCCCACTCTGGAGACCTTAAATACCTATAGGCTCCACTTACAAAAACTCCCCAGAGCCACAGACTCACTGACTTTTGGGGGGCAGTTGCCACCACCAAGTGAAATAAAAGAAAACACCTTTCTTTTTGAACCCAGGAAGAGAGCACTTGGACTTCTGCCAGAGGGGTACCCCCAAGCTCCTTGACCACAAGAGAGCTTAGAAAACAAAGAGGAAAAACAAATTGCAGTCTCTGGTAGCTGACTTCTTAGTCTTAGGCATGCAAACTCATGCTCAGAGACCTGTTTCTTTCCAGGACACAGGAAATCAAATCATTGCTTTCAAAAAGGTGATTTTATTAACAAAACAAAAAGATATTTGATAAAGCATACTTGGTTGCTAGGTGTTACAGAGCAACTGAGTAAAGCAAATTAAAACACGGAAAACATCTCTGGGCTAAATGGAAACACAAAATACCCTGATTGTGGCTAAATACACCTTTCCCCTCTACTCACGATCTGTGCTGATCTGTACTTCGAGGCCCAGTTCACTCCCACGTTCAATATTTCTTATAGTCACGGTAATTCTGAGTACTGCATCTGCTCCCTCCAGCCCTTCTTAGAATTCGCACAAAGAGAAAGGCAGCGGGATTTTAAGTTTCAGCACTGCATCCCACTGGTGGTTCTGGCCCCCTGCCCACACTCTTGCTAGCTACCTGAGTTTAACCCTTTGGTTACTGATGCTGGTCAGCACTCCTATCCAGTATAGCCACCCATAAGAACCACAAGAGGCCCTGGATTGTTTCAGAAGAGCCATAGAGGAGGATTCATAGGGCAACGCTCTTTTCCCGTTTCCTTCATCCTGCAAGCACTACACAAGATTTGCTGGGACCACGCTACCATAATACTCAGCATTCCAGCCGAGTCAGTTTTGGTTCATGGACTTCTCAGACTCTCTGCCCTCACGCCACTCCACCTTTGCAGACTCCTGGGTCTCCTCTCACAAGATTGGGGCAGGGTCTTGCATCCAAATCCAGGCTCTCTTCACCTCACATCCTGGGTTTTGCATGGTGCACAGGGGTAGACAGAACATGCTCCACCCTGGTGAGACACATCCTACCCATGCAAATGGGCATCCACCAGGACCTGCTACTGAGCTAAATGGAAACAGTTCACCTCATAGTGTCCCCCAGATCATCCCCCACTGAGTGTGATACCCGAACCTTTTGTCTTCTACTACTTTTACAATTGCCAAGTGTCAGGCCTTGCCCACTGCTCTATATTGGTCCACCTGGCAGCACCTAATGCCTTCCCTCCATGGAGGGCAACTCCATGTATATGCATCATAGCAGTGTCTGTTTCATAATAGTTCTCCTCAGTGCCTTCCCAGCAGTACTCAAGCCCACCATGCCAACCCCGTGGGACTAGAATCTTGTTCTCTCTGCCCTCACAAACCCACCCTTTGAGCCACTGGCAACATGCTCCCTCTCCCATCTCTCCGTGAAAGTGTTGTGCTTATTGGCCATTACCTCAGTTAGACATGTCAGTGACCCTCCCTCTAACACCATATTCCACAAGGATAAAGTTTCCTTACAGCTGCACCCTCAGGTCCTCCAAAAGGTCGTGGCAGAATTCCACCTCAATCAGTGCATCCACCTCCCTGTCTTCTGTCCCATGCACACAGGATCCTGCACTCCCTTGATGTCCACCATGCCATAGGCATTGTAGGTCCTGTGGAGCTAGATCTTTGCATATGGATGAAACTGTTTGTAGCCATTGCCAGCTGATCCAAGGGCAAAGCCTCCTCTTCAAAGTGACTCACCAAATTGATGTCCAGGTGCATCCCTGAGTGCTATCTAATGTGCTGCTGCCACACCAGCCTGCTTTACAGACCTGTTGTAGCAAGACATCTGTCGGGCTGCAGCATGGTGCTCTGTGCTTACATTGACATCCCACTACGACACATCATTGCCCAAGGGGCAAATGTTGATGCTGCAGTGGGCCACACTGTACTACACATAGTACTTTCATCAAGAGGAGGAGACAGCTACCTACCTGTAAATAGAGGCTTTTCGAAATGTGTGATTCCTGTTTGTCTATCCCCTCTGCTGTGGATGCTTTGGTAAAAGTATCACTGGAAAAGCCAAGAGAGGCCTTCTAGCTCTGGCGCATGAGTGCACATGTACACTCCCATTCTGAAAACAAGTAGGGCCGGCACATTGCAGAGAACTTCCAAGTACAGATAAGTAATTTCCTCTTATTACATGTTTGATCTGAGAGCTGTGAATGCCATTGGAACCAGCTGTGTGTTTGCATTTATCTTGCAATATGAAATTTGGTGGCTTTTCAATGTTTGCGTGAAAAAGCATCATAATAGTAGTAATGAATTCATGACCACAGTCCTTATCCTCCAACATATGCACTGAAGCTGATGTGAATTAGTGTGCTTCCATCAGGAAATATCACCTAAAACCTGTGAGTGTTTACAAGTACTAGGAAAATAAAAGCTGTACTGGGATTTGCAGCTATACAGTTAATTTTTTAAAAATTGCTCCTTTGCTAACATATTAGTAACCTTTCCCAAAGTGTGTATTTGTCTGCTTGGTACGAACAAGGCTTTACATTTGTAATTCCTTGGGGCAGGCATTAGGACTTAAAAATTGTCATTACAAAACATGCCAACCAGTTCCTTCTGATTTTAAAAAAATTAACATCTGGAGAGCTGGATTTTGGACTAACCTGGAGTCCACAATGTTCGCAGCTACCGCAAGTGGAACCAGGGAAGTCCATTTTAATAAGGGTTGGACTGTCCTTCAGTAACTCCTATGGAGACATGGTCCCCTTCCATGTCATATCATATTTGTTGCAGTATCTAAATATATATTTTATAGCTCCTGAAGGTCTAGATGGCTTTGAAAGTATATTGAAACAGGGGTATGATTTGTTACTTATATACAGTTTTTTTTTTTGCCCTTTGAAAGTATATTGAAACAGGGGTATAATTTGTTACTTATATACAGTTTGGTTTTTTTTGCAATGTTTCTTGACTAGCAGCTTTTCTCACAATAGCAAAGGTCATCTTCACAACCATCTCCACAACAATTTCTGATTGGGGGAGTATTTGAACCTTCAAGTCAGGGGCACTGCTCTGGGTACCCACATGGCCCCACAGTATGCCACCATTTTTATGGCTGACTTTGAACAACATTTACTCAGCTCCCATCCCTTAGCATCCCTCCTCTACTTGTGCTGCATTGATGAAATCTTTATCATATGGACCCATGGGAAGGAAGCCCTTGAAAAATTCCACCAGGATTTCAGCAGTTTCCACCTCACTATCAACTTCAGCCTGGACCAGTCCACACAAGAGATCCACTTCCTGGACACTACAGTACAAGTAACCTATAGCACCAAACTAAAACCTCCCCAGCACATCATTGACAATCTACAACCTATCCTGAAAAATGATCCCTCATTCTTAGACCTTGGGAGACAGACCAATCCTCCTCTACAGACATCAACCTGAAACAGATACCAGCACCTGCACACCACACTACAGAAACGCTCACCGAGGAACCTATCCCTGCAATGAAGCCCATTGCCAACTCTGTCCACACATCTATACAAGCGACACTATCACAGGACCTAATGACATAAACCACACCGTCAGTGTCTCATCCACCTGCACATCCACTAACATAATATATGCCATCATGTGTCAGCAATGCCTCTTAGCCATGTATATTGGCCATCTGGGCAGTCTATGTGCCAAAGGATAAACGGACACAAATCAGACATCAAGAAAGGTAATATTCATAAACCTGTAGGAGACACTTCATGTCTGTCTCCATAACACCAAGCTATGTAAACTATGGATGCTGGTCAGATGAATGAAAATGATTAGAGGCAATTTCACACAGAGAGACTGAAAAGATTGGAGCTGTTAAATTTTGAGAGAGTTGAATAAGAGGGTGTGGTGGAGGTAAAATTAGGCAATTTCACACAGAGAGACTGAAAAGATTGGAGCTGTTTAATTTTGAGAGAGTTGAATAAGAGGGCGTGGTGGAGGTAAATGGATTTAAAAGTAGCCATCCTTCTATCCTCCTCCCGCCCCCCACCCCAAAAAATCAAAATGACATTACAAAGGGAAAAAGCAGAACTTCAATTCATTTGCAAATTCAGTACACTCAAATTAGGACTGAATAAGGATTTAAATTGGTTATCTCACTACAAAGGCAATTTTCCCTCTCTTGGTATTCACACCTTAACTGCTGAGAGTGAGCCACATCCACTCTGACTTGAAATTGACACAAATTAAATTGGGTGCTCCTGTTCAGTTTGTGTTCGATTTTTATTTTTTTTAAATTGGGGAAGGAGCCCAAGGGAGTGGGGGACAGTCAGTGACACTGAAGTTGATGAAAAAAAATGTAACCCATCCTTCAGTACTAGATCGCGCAGTGGGCAGTCAGGAGAGTAAAATTTTACAAGGCTTCCTGGGCTGGACAAAGGCGAAGCTTCCAGTTCAATGAGTTGGGTCGCTTGCAAATCTGAACAAAGGGAGCAATATGCATTTTACCAACCCGTTACAGTGTGTTGAATTTAGTGAATAGACAGATTTAATCCTACTTTTAAGTAGTGTATATTGTATTTCATTGGCTCTTTGTGAGGCTAAAATACTTGTACCTCCATTTGCACAGGACAAATGAGGTTTTGAGATTTTTTGTTTAAATACAAACTTGGAAGAATGTTCAGCTTCTACTAGTTTTAATTCCTGCTAGTACCAGAGCTTCGGTTTCATATCACGTTTGCCAATCAGAGTGGGCTACTGATGAGGGCTTGAGTGGGAGATGGAGCAGAGATAGTAATCAAGAGATGTTCAGAAGTAGTAATACAAACATGTTAATGTTTTCTTCTAGACTGGGGTAAAAGCAAATTGGAGTAAAAGGACTGAAGGATGGAGCAGAGATAGTAATCAAGAGATGTTCAGAAGTAGTAATACAAACATGTTAATGTTTTATTCTAAACTGGGGTAAAAGCAAATGGGAGTAAAAGGACTGAAGACAGTTAACCATTGAAACAGTTTAGCAAGGGTTTGGTGGTTTCTCCATCACTGGAAACCTAAGATTACAATTTTTAGAGAAAAAAATCCAATTTAGTTCAAGTAGGAATTGATTCAGGGAAGGCCTGTACTCTGTGCTGTTTAGTTGGACTGGGGTGGGCAAAATGTTTTGATGGGAAGCCACTCCAAGAATTTGGAAAGAGGTCAAGGGCTGCACTCTTTCACAGTACTAATAGAGGCGGTTCTGGGTCTGGGATGTAGGCTGGGTGCAGAAGGGAGTTTAGGGTAAGGGATTAGGGTGCAGAAGGGAGAGGGGTAAAGGAAGTGGTTGTGACCTGGGGCATGGGACAACGGTGTAGGCAGGGGTGCAGGCATTTGGGTTGTGATCTTAGGTAGAAGGGGGCTGTGACCTGATACAGGGTTTGGGTTGTGACCTAGGGCAGGAGGGAGTTATGAGCCTGGGGTAGGGGATTAGGGTGTAGGTTCTGGGAGGAGGCATGGGGGCAGGAGGAAGAGCAAAGGGGTTGGGTTATTGGGGTGTGGGACAGAGGGTTGAGGGGAGGGAGGGTCTGGGGTTCCAGAGGCAGGCTCTTGCCAGTAGACTAACCTGGGTGACTCCCAGCCAGAAGCCCAGCATGTTTCTTGAGCACATGGCAGAGGCCATGTGAGTCTGTGAATAGCTGTGAGCCTAAAGGGAGGAGGAGGGGTGCCTCACCTGGCAGCTGATTTTCTGAGCAGCTTGTGGGGGCAGGGGCAAGCAGGAGTCCTGCCTGAAGCTCCCTGCTGCATCCATGGGCTGGATCCAGCAGCTTGACAGGCCGGATCCAGCCCATGGGCCGTATTTTGCCCAGACATGCAGTAGGAGTTATTTTAGATCCTTCTGGCTGCTTAATCCATGAATTCCCGATGTTTGACTGTCTTACATTTTTCTTATGAGGTGAGAAATAATTAATATAAAATAAAGCTGCTTTTTTTTTTTTTTTTCAAAAAGAGGAAAACTCAGTCAATGACCTAACTTTTCTTGTTTGTCTAAGGTTAAGTGGGAGATCTTCTCCCATCTCCAAGAACAAAGCAAGTCAGAGCTTCAGTCTGGATTAAGGCAATGAGTCGTGTCTCCCCACTGTTCTGATAACTAGAGTATAGGAGCTCTGAAATATGAGTACTACCTCTTTCTTGTGGGCACTGTGTGTTATCAAACCATCTTCCTTCGGATTAGCATGAAGAAGCAGAGAATTGTTTTAGCCTGCAACACAGCCTGTATTATGTCATTAAGCACTTGATTTCTCTCTCTGTGTCAGGTGTCTTTTTTATAGATGGACCAACTGTATGGCCACTGGTGAGAATCTATCGAGGTGGCTTTCTCCTGATAGAATTCCTCTTCCTCCTGGGCATCAATACGTATGGCTGGAGGCAGGCTGGAGTGAATCATGTCCTCATCTTTGAACTCAATCCCCGCAGCAATTTGTCCCATCAGCATCTCTTTGAGGTAAGCAGAACATGTCATAGAATCACAGAACACTAGGACTGGAAGGGACCTCAAGAGGTCATCGAGTCCAGTCCCCTGCCCTCATGGCAGGACCAAATACTGTCTAGACCATCCCTGCTAGACATTTATCTAACCTACTCTTAAATATCTCCAGAGACGGGGATTCCACAACCTCCCTGGGCAATTTATTCCAGGGTTTGACCACCCTGTCAGTTAGGAACTTTTTCCTAATGCCCAACCGAAACCTCCCTTGCTGCAGTTTAAGCCCATTGCTTCTTGTTCTATCCTCAGAGGCCAAGATGAATAAGTTTTCTCCCTCCTCCTTATGACACCCTTTTAGATAAGGAGTGCCGCTGTGCATTTTAAGTGTGCTGTTTCTTTAGAATGGATTGTAACAGAACTATCAGGAAAAGATTCCAAAAAAGGCAACAAAAATAATTAGGAGTATGGAAAAACTTCCATAGGAGAGATTTATAGGATTGGGACTTCTCAGCTAGGAAAGACACTTCTACAGGGAGGAGAATAAGATTCCAAAAAAGGCAACAAAAATAAGTAGGAGTATGGAAAAACTTCCATAGGGGAGATTTATAGGATTGGGACTTCTCAACTAGGAAAAGACACTTCTACAGGGAGGAGAATGTGAGAGAGATCTATAAAATCATGATTAATGTGGAGAAATTAAATAAGGAAGTGCTATTTACACCTTCTTGTAACACAAAAGCTAGAAGTCACCAAATGAAATGAATAGGCAGAAGGTTTAAAACAAGAGGAAGTATTTCTTTACAATGAATAGGCAGAACTGTGGAACTCCTTGCCAGAGGATGTTGTGAAGGCCAAGACTATAATAGGGTTCAAAAAAGAGCTAGATAAATTCCTGGAAGATAAGTTTGCCATAGTTTATTAGCTAGGATGGGCAGAGATGTTGTTTCTGGTCTCTGTTTGCCAAAAGATAGGAATGGACGACGGGATAGATCACTTGATTGCCTATTCTTTATGGATTCTGATGAGACTAGATGGACCTTCGCTGTGACCCAGGATGGCTGGTTTTATATTCTTAAGTGAAGAAAGTGGTTACTGATGTGTTGCTGATTTGATGAGTGATGAAAGTAGCTCTGCCTTGGGTTCTATAATAAAGCAATTGTGAATTCCAAATAAGTCATTAGGTGTATAACTTTTTATCTTTTCCATCTTTTATTAGATTGCTGGATTCCTTGGGATGTTGTGGTGCCTGAGCCTGCTGGCTTGTATATTAGGCAAATTCACCCATGTCCCTATGCAGGTGAACCCACTCATCTTGTATGGATTCATGTTGCTTTTCCTCATCAATCCCACCAAAACTTTCTACTACAAGTCCCGGTTTTGGCTGCTCAAACTGTTGGTAAGTTTTGAACCTAGTACAAACTCAAGAGAAACTGGTGTCGGTAATTAACTCAGTAGTTGAAGAGTATGCAAATACAACATTAATTTTCAGACTTAGGTCTTTATGCCACACAATTGTATGCATGCTTTGATTCATTAGCACTCAAGCAAGACCATACATAAAGGATTAGATGAGTGTGTGTGTTTGTGCATAGAGTTACAGAAGTTACTTTCAGTCTTTGGACTATTTCTGTCGTATTCTTTGTACCCAGGGTATGTACACACAAATGTTCTCACACAAAAAAGCACACGTGTCCGTTTGTATACACACATCAATCCACCGCATATGTTTTCTCATGCATCAGCCACTGAATCTCTTACTTAGCAAAACATTTTGTGTAAGATTACAAAGGGCTACAAAGCAAAGCTGAGAGAATGTCCAAACTGAAAACGAGCCGATACTCAATTAGAATATTCATGGGGGTAGCAGAGAATAGCTGAAGTTACTTTCCTTTTATAATAACTACACACGACTACTTTTTCAACTCTTGGCTATTGTTTCCCTGGTAACAAAAATCTGAAAAAATGAACAGAAACATGTATGCTAAATGCACTATTAATGTTATAAATATAAACACCAAAGCAGTAGTTTTCAGATGTTTGACTGGGAATCTCTCACCAATTCTTCCCAAAATGCATAGCCCTGCCACCACTCCATGTGCCCGCACAACCTTTAACTTGCATTAATTTTAATCCGGTTGAGTCCTTCACTTTTTCAGGGCTCCTCTAGACTATGCTAGAGTGTTGAAAGAGGATAAATTTCACGGTAATTTAGAAAGTAGTTTAGACACGGCTTTTTCAGCGAACTCCTCCTCTCCCCCCCTTGTCAAAAAGCTGCGTAAACCTCATTTTTTGAGGAAGAGCAGCTTTTTGACAAAGGAGGGGGCGGAATTTGCATATCCTCTTTTGACACTCTAGCGTCGTCTAGATGAGCCCTCTGTCTTGCTGTTAGTGCTGGGAAGGTGTGGGTTCTGTTTGAGCTGCTTAGCGTGCATCTACACGGCAGCACTAGCTCGAAATAAGCTATGTAATTTGAGCTACGCAAATTGTGTACCTTATTTCAAGCTTATTTTGACATTAATCTGTTTCAAAATTTTGAAATAGACTGCTATTCCTCCAAGTCCCTTAATCGTCGTGGAACGAGGTTTTCCGGAACGTTAAAATAATGCACCTGCTATTTCGATTGCACAGGTTTTCCGGAACGTTAAAATAATGCACCTGCTATTTCAATTGCACTTCGTAATAATGGGTGTGCTGTCAAGACACGGAAAATGCTATTTCAGGATAGCGGAAGTATCCCAAAGTAGTGCTGCAGTGTAGATGTACCCTTAGAGAACTGGAAATTTTCTGGCTAAATAATTTTTTGCTCCATTTGCATGGTAAAAATACTGAGTGATTAGCAGGACAGAAGATTGAGGCCTCTTAGGTGGGTCCTGGAATATTGTCCTCTATTACTTTGCTAACACTTGCTAAATATTTTTTAATTGGTGCAATCTGGAACAATTCAAAGGTAAGAATAAAATTGGTCGTCTTCATGAACATGAACATGCATACATCTGTACATTAAGTGTACACACAGATTTTGTTTATGTCCATCTTATTTAAGTGTTTAACTTTTTATTAGTTTTAACATGCTAAGTCTTTGCTCTTTTTGTGCTCCCTTTTTTCCTTTCCCCTTCCATCACTCAACAAATCACCATCTCTCCTACTCACAGATCCTTTTTCAGATGTGATCCTGCCCCTTTCTCCTCTCCCTAGCCTGGCCACCTGTATTACTGCCCTCTTGTCCTGAGAGAAGCCAGACTAGTCCTCAGCCTCCCCTTCTCACACCTCTGTCCCCATTGGAAACAAATGAGCAGGATGGTATTAGGGTCCATCCTGGTTCGGTATCTGCCTTCCCTTGAGGAGCAGGGGACATTCCCACCTCAGATGCTTTGCAACATGTGCTGCTTCCATTTCACACTCACACAGAGGTGGGGTTTTGCAGCGCATTATTCATTCTGAAGGGGAATACGACATTTTGGCTATAAAAGGAACTATAATCTGTTTCATTTCTTGTGGTGTGATTGTGTGGGCACAGTCTCAGAGTTATAGCATTGCTGTGGCACCACTAGCACGGTCACCGGGAAATATATTGGCATGATGGAAGTAGGAAGAAATCATTCAGTCTTCACAGTGATGGCAGCTTTGGAAATTCTGCATTTTGCTGCTGATTATTGATGAAAGGACCCCACACAGTTGTTCCCATAAGGTAGTAAATGAGACTTTTTTTTTCCTCCTGTAGTCCCCATCACTGAAATAACAAGCTCTGATTCATGCAAAGCAGGTTACCCGCATAGCTTATAAGGCAACAGATTGCACATTGGGCTTGACATTAAGCATTGCAACTGCCAAGTGTATGTTAGAGCAAAGATTAGTTGATGAAATACATTGGGGAGTGATGGTATCAGGCAGGGGTAACACAATAATTAAATGAGGTGAGCTGGTGAAACCATTAAAATATACAAAAGCAACTTGTGCCATCATTACCACAATAACTGGAGTACACGGGTGTAGTGTAGTTAATAGTTTTCTTTGTGTGAAACCTCTGGAGTCGACACATCTACTGGAATCAAAAAAGCTTGCCCTTGGAGTAATTGGAATATGCAAGCCTTGTTCTTGGAAACTTTGGAGAGAAGCCTCTTGTACAAAATGTTTCTTTTATACGTATCTCATTGCACTTTCCCTGTTCTCTGTCCATGTTGATGCTAAAGATAGACACTTAGTCCCCATTCCTCAATCTTGGATACTAATTCAAAACTGTATTTCATTAGCTTCATCCAGTATATTCTGTGTTTGGATTCCTTTCTGGGCTTGTACATGCAGGGTGTGTGTGTGGTGTGTGTGTGTGTGTTTTTTTTTTTTTTTTTTTTTGCTGCACTGCTTTTGCTAGGTCCATTTAGAAACTGACTGTGCTATAATCCCCTGCCCCCATCCCAGTGTGAATAGTGACAGTGGCATGGCACCTATATCAGAATAGCTCATTTCTTTATTTCTGCCTACATTTATCAAAATTAGCTGTATATTATATCTTTATTTGGGTACAACTGTGTTCGTTAGAGGTTGCTGTAGTTTAATAATCTATGTCTAACCTGATATAGCAAAAGAACAAAACCTTTGTGTACAGTAGCATTTTGACTGTGAACTCAGTAAGGCATAGTGAACAGACACCTGCAGGCTTGAGGTCTCTTAGGGAGAGATGGCTCAACCTTAATGGAGCAAAACAATATATTTAATTCTATGTAAGGCCAAAAAGCAGACAGACCACATAAAAGAATTGCTGCTAGGGGCAATCTGTGTCCACCCAGGAAACAAAGGCATTTAAGGCTCATTCTACGAAGGCCCAAGCAGCTGGCCTGAGAGATGTGGTGCTCAGTCCACCTGTTTACCAATCTCTGGGTATGTCTACACTGCCACCCTAGTTCGAACTAGGGTGGCTAATGTAGGCATTCGAAGTTGCAAATGAAGCCCGGGATTTAAATATTTAAATATCCCGGGCTTCATTTGCATCTTGCCGGGTGCCGCCATTTTTAAATCCCCGGTAGTGCGGACTCCGTACCCGCGGCTACACGCGGCACGGAGTAGGTAGTTCAAATTAGGCTTTCTAATTCGAACTACCGGTACACCTATTGCACACTCCACTCTTTTCTGGGATGAAAGTTATTGCTGTCAGAGCTGCACACTAGGGGTGTAAAAGGTTGTAAGCATTAGTCTTACCAGTTAACCCGCTTTAACTTTTAACCTTGGCTGGCCCCACACTGACTGGCCCTCCAACCGCAGCAGCCCCCCACACCACCAGCCAGAGAGGCGTCAGTTGTGCTGCCCAGCTGGAGCAGCACCAGCCAGCAGAGCAGGCCCAGCCATGCCAGCTAGTCTTGGCCGTAGGGGCCCCAGACACCCCAGTGGATTGACGCCAGTCCAGCCATGCTGATGGTGGGATCAACCCCAGCCACTTAATCACTTAACCATTTAAATGATGTATTTTTAATTCTTTAAATGGGTAACTACATGGTATTTACATCCATATTGCACACCCACGTGTGCACGGTTCAGTGGAGTCGTGAATAGGAGACACATTGAGGGGATAGGATACAAACAGAACAGAAGCAGTTGGGAACTGCAGACAGTTCGGATTAGGAGGCTTGCCAGAGGATGGATTATACTTAAAGTGATGGTTCAATTCCCAATGTAAGGGATTAACTAGTGCCTCCTAGAGACCTAAAATGGGTGCCTGCTCATTCTGTCTGCTGTAAATTTTCACTGGAGTATTCAAGTCCCTTGCTGTATCTATCTTAGGGTTTCATACTGAGATCCATCCCCTGGCTATCTGAGCACATTCTATGTAAAAGCAATAGCAAAGCTCTGAGTGGACTTGATAGTCCCTCTTCTCCTGCCTTGAGGTAAAAACACTACTTGCAATAAGGGCTGTAGTTTTGATTGCTTAAATGTTTGTTTTGTTGCGTTGTTTCAGCAATTTTTTGGTTGGGATTAGTTGTGTAGAAGGTGGTATCAGTGGTTAGTGTCACTTTTTCTGGTGGAAAGGCCTTTTGGAAGTGGGAGCTTTAAGAGTGTTCCTTATCTATGGTTAGACCTTGGAGTTCCCTGATGTCCTCTGGAGGCTTGTTACACAGCTGAATCCTCACCTGAGAACACTTTATCCCTAACTCTCACGTGCTTCAGCTTGGGCTTTGTAATATACCTTGTCCTAAAAGAGCACAGTTGTCACTGTGGTTTACCTACTAAAATACAGCCTTGAACGTAGCTTTGAAGATGAGGACCAAAGCCCTTAAACAGGAATCAGACCCTGAGAGCCAGTGGAGAGACGAGCACAGCTCTGATGTGCTATATTCTTATAACTCTTTTCTTCCAGTCTGTCTTGTAATTCATAGTAGAAATCATCTACTGCTCTATCTATGAGTTTTATCCAATGTTTCCTTAACAGAAACGTTCATAAATATCTGAACTGCAGGACATAACTGGTGTTACCTTTAACGAGCTAGGATCAGTAGTAATCAAAGATAATGGAGCCTGAATGTGGTCTACTTTTGAAAGGAGTGTAACTGCTGTAAAGCCTTGGAGGAAAGTGGGTTAGGATGGAGAGGGAGTCTGATGAATATTTAACCATTAAACTTTCCTTTGCCTTTTTAACTTAACCCTTTAAACTCTTGAGGGATTGAGAGCCTTACATTAGGGTTGCACACTGCAGAAACATGCTTGTTGGTGTGGAAATCTGAATCAAGGTCAGATTAGAGGCCAAGATGCTGGTCCAGAACCTAGTGAGTGTCTGGTGTGAAATGGGGAAGAGGCACATGAAGATGTGGAAGTGCTTGTGGTAGAAATACTGAAGAGGATGGGTGAGAAGTTATTGTCAGTGTCATAGATTGGCTTAAAACACTCTGAAGTGGGGATTGTGGGTTTCTTTGCTGGATCTTGGATCTCACTTCGAAGAGATTGAAAAACTCGGATCAGCCCCCCCCCCCCCCAATCCCCTCCAAAAAAGGTTGTGAACACAAAGGAGGAAATGAATGTATGAAAGAGGAAATGTACTCAGTTCTTGTGGGTGAAGGGGGTTTTCTATTGCCAGGAGAAGTGATGAACCAGCAGATCTCTGAAGAGCACTGTGATATTTTGTATTAATTCAACAGTCACATCTCTTGCTGCTATGCTGCCAGTCTGTTCTGTTAATATATTTCATATTAACTGCATGCTGTTTTAATTTTCAGTTCCGAGTGTTCACGGCCCCCTTCCATAAAGTAGGCTTCGCAGATTTCTGGCTGGCCGATCAGCTCAACAGCTTGGCTATGATACTTATGGACCTGGAATACATGATCTGTTTCTATAGCTTTGAACTCCAGTGGGACAACAGTGCTGGGCTGTTGACAGGTACAGGTACAGTAATGATCAAGATGAGATGGTCACAAATTTGTATGGACAGTTTGCTCAATCACCTAGGAATGTTGATATTAACTAAAAATTCCAGTAAGCATCTTTCTTTCCTTTTGCAAAAATTCTCCCAATAACATAGGAAACTCATCTTATCGTAGGGGGTTTTATTCTCCCATCCCATACTGCCCTGTTCACCCATCAGTTCGTCTGGTATAACCTGCTTCTGTGACTGGTATGACCCATGGACTTAAGAACTTGTTTGCCAAGATTTTGAGGTGTTCTTTGGCAAAGGAAGACACACAGCAGTTTTCCAAGCTTGTCTGGCAGTTTTTCAGACTTCTTTCCAACAATGCAATCACACTTAGCCTTTTATTGCTGCTTTGTGTTAAAGTGATACATAGAAGTGGTACAAACCTACCAACAATACAGAGTTTATGGGGAAATAGGGGGAAAAATAGTCATGAGACTAAGTGCTCTTCTCCTGGAGGTCTTCCATATTCTTGTTTTACCTTTTCCTTCCCGTTTTATCTGTGCTTTCCAGGCTATTTCTTCCAGGTCCTATGTTTTACTATTGTCCTCTCTGCTGGAGGAAATGGCAAGGAACTTGCTTAAGCTCATTGGTGCCATTCATTATTCAATTACAATTGACATTGAGAAACAGAGGCAATGCTTGCTGCCTCCAGCATCAATTCCAGCTTGCAAAGCAAAAGATGGTATCTAAATTTTAACCCTGGTCTTCTCCATGGCAAAACATTATCTTATCCCTCTGGACCAGTCAGTCCACAGTTGTCTTTCCATTTCAACGAGCAGCCACTGACAGTCATCTTGTCAATGGGCCGTTAGCATATATTGAGAGAACACAAAGCCTGCTTTTTGTGTGCATCTGCATTACTTTCTATTCCTCCAGGCTTGCCTATCTCAGAACCCTCCATTCAATTGTATTAAGACCATGTACTAACGGGTCTTTTCCCTGAAGGCATTAATTGGAATTAAACTGTTTAAAGCCAGGAGGTGTGTATTCTATAGGTGTTCTGCATCAAACCAGAAAGAATAAGAACACCATTCCACTGGAATAAATATGGATTGATTCACTGAGGGAGTGAACAAATTCTGTATTCGATGGCCTGATATTTTTCAGGTGTGCTGAACACGTTTTGGAAATTAAGCCACGAATGATTTGATATGGAAATGTGTAGGAATGTGACAGGCTTTGGATTTTACACTTAACTGTTGACTTTTCCTGTCTTTTCCCCCTTATTGGCAAAAATCATTGCACCCCTAAAAATGGAATTTTCTTATGATAATTAGTGATGTGACAGTATTAGGATACAAACTCAAATCAGTTGATGGTTATAGTTGAAGGGGCACATTCAACTGGTCATTTTAAAAGAAGAGTCGAGTCATTTCAGGTACTCTACAGCCCCATGAGTCTCCCTGCAAAGTTTGGTGTATGCTCCTGCCTGGAGAGATCCATATAGCTAGGAGAAATGCTGAAATTGACTATGCTCAAATGCACAAATTAACTAAAGTAAAACAAAAGATTTCACTGATAGTAATCTCAGTTGCTACTTGTAGCAGTACTAGGTTGTAAATTTTTTGATGGTAGTGTATAAGCTGTGTCTCTTTAAAGCCTAGCACTGAGGGTTAAGAAAATCTTCCCTTGACTGAAACGCAGTGCTGGGATTGAAAATATTGAGATTCTAAACATATGTGCAAATGCAACACTGCTTAGCCTATTACATTTCCTGCTTCCAATACCTTAGGATCACTCATTTAGATAGAGGTAGTGAGACATTTAGAAGGGAATGAGAGAAGAATCGAGTAATTTGTTTCCATGTCTACTGACGCATCTTTTTTTCTTCTAGATGATCAGATTTGCAACAGCTACTCCTACGGAGTGCGAGCAGTTGTCCAGTGCATCCCTGCTTGGTTGCGTTTTATCCAGTGCCTGCGCCGTTACCGTGACACCAAACGGGCCTTTCCTCATCTGGTTAATGCTGGCAAATACTCCACCACCTTCTTTATGGTGACATTTGCAGCCCTCTACAGCACTCACAAAGGTACTAGTTATTACTAGTTACAAAGGATTTAGTTATCCTTTAGTTATTTCACAAAGCATTGCAGAAACCCCTGCTATCTCATCAGCTTTTGCTCCTCGGTCGACCTTTCTCCTTGTGGGCTTTCAGGTGCTAATGTTTATAGAGAGAGAACAGAATTATGGACAGTACAAGTTATGTTCTTACCTTAATATAAAAAGGATGACCACTATAAAAGGTAAGAAAATAGAGTAGAATTGAGGTGCTATGGGTTGAGTTATGGTAAGTAACATTGTTTTAAAAAAATGGATAACTTTGTTATCAATTCATCCTCCTTTTGGCATTGATTGAATCTTTCAATGGAGCTGCTGATTCTTCAGTGACAAGGGGACCAGTGTAGCACTAATTAGTGCACAGTGTTGCAGGCTCAGAAAAACTTCTATCCATACATTTTTCTCCATTTCCCTTCATAATAAAGTATAGGTGTCTGTTTAAACAAAGTATGGCTTGTCCCCCAGTATGGGAGCTGAGAATTCTGTTTTCTATTTTTTTCAAATGAACATGAAATGCTTTCTTGTGGATAGAGGAATGCAGTTTATTAATCAATAGATGTGTTTCAGAAATTTAATTTTGAAATTGAACCCAGGCAGTCTGGATGCTCTTTCGAAAAAGCACAGTTTGCAGTACATAGCGCCTTTTTTCGAAAGAGCACTTTCAAAAAAGGCGTTATTCCTCGTAAAATGAGGTTTTTCGCGGTCGAAAAAACTGCCGCGTTCTTTTGATTTACTTTCGAAAGAACTCAGCAAGAGTCTAGATGCAGGGGAAGTTTTTTAGAAAAAATGCCACTTTTTTGGGAAGAAAAACCCTGTAGTCTACACACACCCGAGCTGTGTAAAGGAATGGACTGAGATGCTACATTATGTGATAGGTGCTGGTCCTTAGGGTTGCCACGTGTCTGGTTTTGAACTGGACAGTCCAGTATTTGAGCTTTCTGTTCGAGAAACAAATTGAGAAAATATAAATGTCTGGAATTTTCAGAATAAGATGTAAGTAGATTGTGATGTAATGTAATGTCAGGTGTGTCCGGTATTTTTGTTGAAACCATCTGGCAAGCCTAGTGGTCCTTTGGCATTCAAGGGCTACCATGGGAGAGCACACTGAACTGAGCTGGTCCATCATTTAGGAAAGTCGGGGAATGTATCCTGTACTAGAAAAAGGTTCCCTCTGGATTTTATATGTATTTTTGTCCCTTTTCCTTCTCAAGCTGGGTGGGGAGTTACTTCCAACCCATTTAACTGCCAGTTGAGCGCTCTGATCCCTCAAGTTCCCTATCTCCGTGGAAACCGCAATTATTACTTGATTCTGCTCTTGTTGTGAAGGAAAAAGCTTTTAGCTCCAGCACTTCAGGCAGCCGTCCTGTCTTTCATTGTTCTTTCTCCCCCACCTCCCATGTCAGTCAAAAGCTTTATTCTTCCCACTGAAATAGATGCCTCCTGTATCTACAGAAATTAGCAACAGTATATATTTGTGAGCCAGTTTCTCATCAATGTGCATTGATAGAGGATTGATAGAGAAATAAAAAAAGTACACAAAGCTTCCTTCTAGCTGTCCTAGGAAGAAGCTTCCTTCAAGTGGACATCAGGTTTATTAGGAAACTCTGTTGGTGCCAAGAGTGCTAACTGAAAATGGGTTGCTGTCTGGGAATTAATACAAATAAAACACAAGCCTTGAGCAGAGTGGCTGGCATATAACAATGTTGTAGTGCACGCTCTCTGAAGACAGAAAATCAGACAGTATTCATGAGCTCATTTTGTATCCAAAGGTACATGTGTGCTTCTCTTACGGGTGTTGAGTAGCTGACTGTGTCACGACTGATAAACCCCTGTGTCTATCTCCCACTGTCACCACCACAGACAATTCCCCTAATACTTAGAATATCCCCCTAATGGTTTTTCCTACATTCTTTCCCTGCCTGGGCTGCAGTCAGGTTAAAATCCCTTGTTCCTAAACTGAGCAATAAAACAACAAATGCAGGGTGCAAGGCTTGCAATAAAGGTTTCTGATATGAACCTGCCATACTTCGCTCAGGAGGGCTGAACCAGGGCATTCCAAAACAGTCATTCTTGTGAAGAGGGAGGAAATTGGTGGGAGGGCAAGCTCAAAAATACATGCTTGTAAAATGTGCCTCTTTTAAGATGTTTGACCTCTTCTTAGTCCCTGGGAATTTTTCACCTTTGCCAGTATGACTGACTGCAGTTTTCAAAAGTGCTGTACATAACTGTTACATCTCTCCCCAAATCTGACAATTGAGTTTATAATGAAGCATTTACAGATCAGAAATGGGACCTGTTCAGTTTGCTGAAAGAGACTCCTGACTTTCTGGGATGGTCACACATTGATCCGTCCTGTTTATCAAGGGGAGCCCATAAAACACAGCCCTTGGTATCATTCAGAATCACTTTAAAGCTTGGTAAATCTGTAAAAACATAAACAAAAAATCTACAAAAATTGATCAAGTGAAATTAATAAAAGAAAGATAATTTCAGATCACAGACCATTTCATTCATTCTGTGCCACTATGGTTAAATTCCCATCACAGCACTGATGCATTTTCTTACATTCTTTGTCAATAGTCCAGGCTTATTTGTGTGTTCAGGTCCCAGCAGCCTTGAAATCAGGTGGTTTTCTGAACAGTCTGACACGAGATCACCACTGAAATTAATGATCAAACTAATTCTGTGCCCAGATAAGTACTATGCAGTGGTGCTGTGGGTGTGCTGGTCCCAGCGTATTAGAGACAAAGTGGATGAGTTAATGTATTTGATTAGACTCACTTCTGTTGACAGGCGAGGCAAGCTTTTGTGCTTACACAGCACTCTTCTTCAGGTGAAAGCTCAAAAGCTTATGTCTAACCAACAGAAGTTAAGCCAACAAAAGATATTACCTCACCCACCCACCTTGTCTCCTTGGGTAAATATGGCATTTGGAGACACTGCCCAGCTCTATCAGTGAACTAGCCGAAAGGAGACTGTTAGCCTGCTGTTTGCTGTTAGGAATAAATGTGCTGCTAGGTGTGAGTTTGAGAGCCCAGGTAAAGGTCTTGCTGCTCACACTTGCGATCCTTGATCACGCTTGGGAGCAGCCCTATAACAGTTACCATGGTTACAAGAATTGCTTATTTATTCAAAAGATTCTAGCTGTGCTACTGTCTGACAATATTGACTTGCAAGGTTGTCAATTGAGAGTCACCAGGCCAGAAGAACGGTAGCTATAATCCCTGCTGTGAAGGCAAGAACAGGTACATGACCAGTTGTCCTTAATTTTTTGTGTAGAGTCCTGTTGGGCTTGCTTTCCTCTCTTGATTTTGCGATTTAAGGAATTGTAGCTGCTCTCCACGTTTTGGAGTGTACATACTTCACCATCTGTGGACCAGTGAAAGACCAAATTGTGCTGAGCTTTTGGTGGGTGATGGGAGAAGGTGTTGAATGCTCACAAACGATTCTCCAGTTGTATGCTTACAGCTTAACTGTGAGTATCTGAGTGCAAGGGCATTGGATCTGTGAGCAGGAAAGAGAAAACTGGTATGCTTTAGCTCTTGTCCAACTGAGGAAAAGTTTATCTCCTTGGAATCTGTGAATGTCAGCTGTCCCCATGCACATTTTTTCCATAAATTCTTCCTATTGTTAAACATTTAGTGTATAGCTTATATATTCAAAGATCCTCACATGCAAATGCCACTGGTTTCATTTTCGCTGTTACACTAGAAATCGTTGTCATAGAAAGTGGGTCTGAGGGAGGGCTTTATCTTTTTTGACAGACTGAAAGGGATAGTGTGTTAAATGAAGCAGAGATACAAGAAAATTCATTTAAGCCCAATATTTAATGAAGTCATTGTGGTCTGTGATTGCATCCAGCTACTTATTAACTGCTGCTGAGCTTGTCCAAAGTTAGTCTTATGTGGTTTGGAAATTAGAGTCATCGCCCCTCTTTCTGTGGCCCTCCCGTGTCTTTTTCAAATGATCCAAATAGGAATAGTGGCAAGCCAACCATTAGTAGCTTGTACGTGTGGAGGAGAATTCCAGGGCTATTTTAAGTCATTGTAACTGGCACCCATCTCTCATTAAAACAGTCCAAACAACGGACCTTAATTAAAAATAACATGGACATAAATTACACAGAGATGCCTCTGAAAATAGTTGCTGCTTCTTAGTGATGACTTTGCCACTTTCTTAAGAAGTACATACTTTCCCCCTAGGCAAAGGGAGGTTGGAGGCCCATTCTAGATTCAAGGGCATTTAAACAAAAACGTGAAGATGCAAAAGTTCAAGATGCTCATTATTCCAGCTGTAGAGCAAGGAGATTGGTTTTCTGCCCTTGACCACATCTTGGATATAACCATCACACAGGAGATTACTCTGGTTTACCTTTGGGCAAGACCATTATCCCGTATAGAGTGCTCCCACTTGGCTTCTCGTCTGCACTCAGGATGTTTTCCCAGTTCTGTCCATCGTAGAAACACACCTGTGAACAATGGACATTGTCATTTGCCTGTACCTAGCTGACTGCTTCCTCAGGGCTCACTTGTTCAAGAATGTCTTACAAGCCATCACATGTTTAGCTGGGCCTACTGCTAGACTTACGGGAATGCCCCCCAGTATGGTGATTGGAGTTGATCTGTGCTGACTTCTGCCAAGGTTGCTCCTTCCATTTCACAGACTTACCACCCTCACAGGTCTTGGAGACAATCCAGGGCAGCTTCCAAGCATTGGCCAGGAACTGCCTACATCTGTTAAGTCAGATGCACCTTTGTCACCCCAAATACCTAGATAATCATGTGTGGCTCAATTCTGAATAGTCCCCAAATAGGGGCAGATTAACAAACTGCTGTCACTGACCTTCACATTAAAGCATTTCCTGGCTGGTGGAAAGACTCATCCAGTGACTCGGCAGGGATGCCATTCATCCAACCACCATCAACAGTTACTCTAACGACTGCGGGTAGCAAGTGCTCTCTGTGCATCATG